CCTCCTTATAAGATAGAAACCCTAATCCTTGTGAAAAGGGACTTTTTCCGAGTATTGACTCGGTCCGAGTCAGAACTCTGACTCGGTCGAGTCAGAACGAATCAGCCCAAGCCCATTGTCAACTCTTGACTCGGCCCATTTAGTATTGACTCGGTCCGAGTCAAAACTTTGACTCGACCGAGTCAAAACATCAGCCAAGCCCACAACACTTTCTGGGCTTCGACTCGCACGGAACTGACTCGGTCCGAGTCAAGTACTGACTCGGTCCGAGTCAGAAGGCTGAAAACGTCCCGACACTCTGATTTGATCCGAAAACGGTTTTTCCGACCAAATCCAAGTCTTCCTTTCTGAAACTTCACATATAAGTCCATCCCTAATGGTGTGTGACCCTGTAGGCCCATTCGCAGTGGCAGCAGCCTCGAGAACCATTCCCGATCTACAAGTCATGGTTAGCCTCTAGCCAGACGCCATGACCACCCACGTTGAATTGAGTTAGAGGTGATCTAACCAAGGCAATAACAGCTCGAGTTCTGATCCTTTATCTCACGATATCATGTGTTGAACAAGGGCATGGTTTGAGCCACCCTTCAAGTTCAACTGCTTTCTCGTCTTGGCAAATCGACTAATAAAATAGATGGAACTTCATCTATAGCGTGGCCACGCATTTTCATAGTCCGACTTCCACGAGAGGGCCCAGCGATATCTCTCCTATTGAGGAGGTGATAAGTCCCATATTGCATGTCTATTATCTCCATATGATTTGTGAACGTATCTGATCAACGCCGTTATGATCATCCGGTTAAAGACGACGTTTGACGCAGTCAAGACACGCCACTCCTCATATCAGATACTCTAGACATCTCAGGTTTGAGGATCCAAGAACGAACCGCTGTATGAGATTCAAGTCATGACTCTGTCCATGTGACAATCTCATGCGGGTCAACCAGTCACTCGTTCACAACGAGTACCCATGATTGTGATATGCATCCAATGCATCGATCACACCTCATGCTAGTCTTAATTCATTATTGTTCCCACAATGATAACTGATCAGGGTGTTTAGAATCATTCTATAATGATTCAGGGATACCGAAATATAACAAACATGTCAATCATATAACGGGAATGTAACGCATTCATAAATCAATGAATCAATACAATGTCAAAATGTCATATCACGGAACATCCTAGAGCATTACAACCAACAGCAACCTCATCTCTAACCTCATCACCATCTACCCCATCACTATCATATTCAGTATTGCTCAATAGCCCATATACAACAGGGCCTTCCGACATCTTATGCACAATGTATGCATCTAATTCTCCATTTATCCTCCCCAAAGTAATCATGTCTCTTATTTCACAGTCTACATCTTCTCGGATTTGCCTCAAACTTTTTATCGTCTCATTTGTTGTTTTATACCAAATCTCTTCTATCAGAGACAATTTCTTCTTCTTTACTAATCTCTCAAATGAAAACCAACTCAAATATTCCACATTAATCAGGCTCTCATTTTGTTCCACAAACCCTCCAATGTAACGTATCTCTCCATCATCATCTTTCACTAGTGTTCCTCCCATATATATGTTCATGATCAGATCATCTAAATCCTCTGCTGACGTCCTTGAAAAACCTTAAAAATTGATAATTTTCCAAAAAATGTAGTCAAAACTGTCATCATATTCCCATCAAACAAAAAAAGGGAAATCGACAATCATAGGGTTTGAAATCTAAGAGAGAGTCGAACAAATCGCATAATTGACCTTTATGATTTCACATCGATGCCACAAGTTCCAAATCGAAGACCCACGTTCGAAATCGACAATCACAGTTCGAAATCACCTTCAACTTACAGACCCACGCTTGAAATCGACGACCCAGGGTAGACATCAATGACCCAAACTCCAAATGACTTTCAACTTAGAGAGAATCGAAGGTTTAGGGTTTGAAATCTCCTTCGATTCAAAGAGAAAACAAATAACTTAGGATTAGGGTTTGAAATGAGTACACTCGACACGGGCTTCTTCCTTCTTTGTTTTTACATTGGATTTTAGGTGATGTGGCAAACTTAATCCTATGTGGACTTTGTTCTGTAGTTCCGTTTGAGCCACGTTAGCTTTTTCGATTCCACCGTCATGATATCACGACGCAGAGGTTTATGGGTTACTAATTAAAACATACAGGGTTTTCTTATTTAATTATATAAAATACATGATTTTTTCGGTAATTTCTGAAGTACAGGATTTTTTCGTTAACCTGGAAAAAGTACACGGTTTTTTTTGCGATTAACCCAAAATTTTATATAGGTAATAGTCTTTTTTTCTCAAAATTAATAGTTGATGATTTTTTATGATGAATTTGAAATAGAAGGATTTTTTGGTGTAAGTAAAACCATTGTCAATCAATTTCAAGTCATTCCACAAAAAAAAAAAAAAACATCGTCACAAAAGCACTACAACATCTGTAAAGTGTGAGAACATGGTAGAAATCAAAGCACAGTGGAAACGTGTGTCAGGTTCTGATCTTAGGAACAAATCAGTTGAGTTTCATTGATGCAAAGGATGCAGCCAAATCTAAAGCCTCATTCACCTGAGATGCATCAGTTCCCTGAAAAACAAAAAGAGATCATCGTTATATCTTTAAATCGAAACGGGATCGGACTGATATGTTGTGGTTCGTTGTCTAGTTTGATTGTGGTTGTTATGTTATGGGAGGCATAATCGCGCACAACTGTTTGGACTTGGCAGGTTGAATCATGGGACTGCATCGACTCGGGCCAAACTTATATATACATTTATGGTTCTGATCTGAATCTGAACCAAAACCGAACTTAGAAACAGAAAAAACCCAAACCAAACTGATAATTACGGGTCCGGAAAGGGAACCCAATCCACCATTAGGGTTTAGGGATGACCATGAGTTCGGACACCTCAGTTTTCCGACCTCGACCTCAGCCCCTCGAGTTTCTTGGTCAGAGTACCCGATTGGGTCTTGTGAGAGTCGGGTGCCCCGCTGGCAAGGCGAGGAGCCAGCCGCTGCAGAGAGGGGACGGGGCGAGAGGGTGAACCGGTAAGGGTCGAGGAGAGACATACCTGGCCCGAAATTGCAAAATTACCTCCACACCCTCACGAAACCCATATGTGCCCTAACATCTCGAAATAAAACACACCCTGTCGCACTAAACTAATGACTGATTTTTTTTAAAAAAAAAGATAATATACATGGGCAAAACCCTAATGGCCGCCTCCGCGCCCTCACCACCTCCTGTCACAGCTCGCTTCCCCTCGTCAGCTCGCCCTCTCTCTTCCTCTCTTATTCGGCTTGGCTTATCCGTGGCTAATCCCAAACTCAAACCCGAGGCTCGGGTTTCCGATGCCACGCACACGACCTCCTATTTGACTCGATCGATTACCCAAATTTCGGGTATCACAAAACGGGAACCCGCAGAACGGATATCCGTCGGTACTGCAAAAACTTCGGGTAGCCACACCCATCTCAAGTTGGGAAGAAGATTATGAGTGGCAATTCGATGGAGATCAAAAAGAGAAACAACGCAATCACAATGCATATAGGTCCAATAGTTATGGTACCTGTCCAGTCGCAAGACCGCCTTTTCCTTTTCCGCATCTCCCATTTAGAGGCCCCAAAGCATTTGATAACCATTCCGTCACGTCCAGTTGCTTGTACTTGTCCGGAACTCCCGCACACACAATGGCCTTGTTTGTGGTTCCATCCGTGCTGAATACCATAACCGACATTCCCTGCCACAATTTTACCCAACCTTTCAACTTTTTTTTTTTACTTTTTACCGCTAAAAAGCATGGTAAAAAAGGCATGGTGTTTTTACCTTTTGTTTCATGACTTTGGAAACTGCCTCTCGCACAGCTGCTGCATCCAGACCAACATCAACGTGGGATACGCAAAAAGACTTTCCATTTGAAGCTGCAGCCTCAGCTGCATCTGTTGCCACCTTGACGGCTTTCTGGATGTTCTCTTCTGCTATTTTCTTTTGAGCTTTTCTCACTTCACTCTGCGGTGAAAACAAACCAGATCAGTTTTATTTTGATTAGGGGTGGCCAATTCGGTTAATAACCAAATAAATGAACCAATCCGAACCGAAAAACACATAACCGTATCCGATATAAAAACTGAATGGGTTGGATTTCTCGAAAAAACCGATCTCGAACCGAATACATCAACAACATCAACATCAACATCACTTTAATCCTAAGTTTATTTGGGAGTAAGGCGAACCAAATATAAAAATAAAAAAAAAATCATAAAAAAACCGAATTTGATCATAAACCAGGACAAGGTTATAGTTTTTCTAAAATCAAAATAACATTGGCCACCCCTACTTTTGATCATAAACCAGGACAAGATTTCGGTAAAAAAAAAAAAACAGGTGACAAGAACAAGCTACACGGTGTTAAAGCTCAAAGCAATCACCTGTAGCAGAGTGATCTTGGCCCTGATGTCTGCTTTTTTAGCTGCTGGGATAACTGCTTTGTCTACCCGGCTATTTAAAGCAGCAACTTTCTGCAAAAAAACTAGCTCATTATGTTTTTCATCGACAGCAGATTAAGAGAAAGGGAAACGAAAATCCCTCCACTGTACTTTCTGAATGTTTGAGATATATATATATAGAGAGAGAGAACCTTTTCCAATGTGCTTCCCTCTTCTTTGGATGCATCCTCTACATCTTTTTCAAGCAAGGAGGCCTCATAAACCGCTTCAAACGCTTTTCCGGTGGTCACAGCAGTTATCCTACGGATGCCTTTGGCAATTCCTTCCTCGACTAATAGAGCAAACGCTTTGGCTTCACGTGTGTTTGTTATGTGGGTTCCTGGAATTGTAAAGATATTCTTACTGAATATACTTTCAGAGCATTGACATCATCTCTTTGTTGTAATATCCAACGAAAATAGAAACCAACCTCCACATAACTCGGATGAAATTGATAGCCATTCATCGTTGTCGGGATCAGACAAAAGGTCATCGACTTGTTTCCCGACTGCCACCACTCTGACAGGATCAGGGTAGACCTGAACGTAATGAGAGGAAAAAATAACAATTGGAACTGAGAGTTGAAAAATGAAACTAGCAAGAGAATTGATGCCAGCTTACTTCTCCAAATACTGCTCTTAAACCCTTGATTCGTTTTGCTTCAGAAAGAGTCACTTCCTTCGCATATACATCTAATTCAGCCTTAATCTGATCATTCACAATTGACTCGATTTTTCTCAGCTGTTCAGGATCAACTGGCTTGCCTAATCAAATTTTAAAACCCATTAGATGCCGAAAAATGGTTCATGAGTCAAAATATCATAGTAAATTTGACTATACCATGAGAAAAATCAAATCGCAACTTTTCAGGAAGGACAATGGATCCTTTCTGATCAACATGATCCCCGAGCACTTCCTGCACTCATGGAAATGAAATTTTTTAAAGAAAACTTAAAAATTAAACAACAGAAATCATAGCGAAATCATACCCTTAGAGCGAAGTTCAACATATGTGTACAAGTATGATTAGGAGCAATGAGTTTACGTCTCTCGTAATCAACCTGCATGCATAAACAATGAAGAAACAAATCAGCTTGTACCAAATATGTAGAGTGAGACAAGAACGTATTACACAAGCAGTTACCTTGCAGGTCACCTTATCCCCAACACTAATCTTTCCGGTTTCTCCCGTGAGATAACCAATATGAAGAATAAAACCGCCAAATATTTGCACATTGCAAACTTTGAACGTACCAAATGGGCCTTCTATCAGCCCTGTGTCAAAAATCTATCACCAAAGCAATGATTGTTAGGCGCGTTGAGGCAGAAGATCCATGTAGCATGTTCCAAATTTTCAACAAGTAGTCCAGATATCAATGCACAAGAATTGTCATCTCATGATATTATATCGCTTGCTCATCCAAACCTAAATCATAGTGCAACTCGAAAAAAAAAAAAGCATATTTCTTCCTGTCATGTTTACATCGATATATTAAAGATGAACATGAAAGCAGATCATTCTGATGTCTATGCTTGCATATGAGCAGAACTGAGAAAAAATCAACAAAACACAATAGTATCAGTTCAAAAAGGGATACCTGACCACCCTGCTCTCCATAGAAACTTGTTGATACCAATACTAGCCCAACATTATCACCAGCGCCAGAACTCTCCATGAACACAGAACCAGTGTAGATAGCTTTTACTTCACTGTCATGATCCTACACCGGAAACAGGCAGAAAAATCACTCAGCAAGGAGACATATCAAAAGGTATAAGAAATAGAGACGTCATGACATCCTTTTTAATTCAGAAACGAATAATAAACTTCCCACTACATGCCAGAGCATCTTTCTTGCTCCAAAGAAACAATTAACAATTTTGAGCACAATGTAAGAATTACGTAGGCTGATAATAGAAAGAAACCTGGAACCATATGTATTTAAAAGAATCATCCGTTGCCAAAACACCACTCTTGTGCAATTTTGAAGTAGCATCAACATCCATTGCAATTGCACCGCCAGCTTGCTGCAAGAAAATTGACATTAGCAGATCAGCTGAAAGATACTGTAGTTTCAGAATTATTCATTCATCCAACGTCATTAGTGCATCAACATGCCCTAAGAAAACAAAACAGGCAGAAAAGAAGTACTACCTTATTCTGAGCACTCCTAGATCTTTCCCTCGCTTCTTCCATGGCTTTGTTGAAACCGGCAACATCAACCACCAACCCACTTTCTTCGGCCATCAACTGAAAGAAGAGAACAAATTTAATAGAAATATCACAACAGACCAGCAGAAAGACAGGTAAACGAACTACATACCTGGGTCAAATCTAATGGGAAACCATATGTATCCCAGAGGACAAATGCATCCTGCAAAGAACAAGACCAAGGAAATTGCGATTGGAATACAATATACAGAAGAATTCTGATACAATGATACAGAGAGTGCCCAACAACAAAAATCCACAACAGGCAGCATCTCCATTCCTCAGTTTCCAAACTACATGAGGCAACGGATGGAGAGGCAAACAAATAGAAATAAATAAATACATACCTGTCCACTCAGTTTGTTCCCCTGAACTGCCTGAGCAGCTTTCTCAAATTTCTCAATTCCCTGGAATTTAAATGGATAATCAATCAAAATTATAGTTGATGCACCTTATATAACAAACAGTAAAAACAGATAAAACTAATTCACAACCAACACAGATTAACAAGGCAACTAAAGGACCTGTAAAATTAATACTCAGATAATTTTGACCCATCATTTTCACCTTTCCCAATGTTTTACAAAAGCTTGCTTCCTCGTCTTTGATTATCTCTCTGATGCGTGCTTCAGATTGCTGCAACTCCGGAAAGACATCACCCATCACTTGAACAACAGAACTTACGAGGCTACAATTTAGGCATATCCTAATCAGTAAACACAACCACATAGAAGGATGTAGGATGCGAAGGATCTAGGTTTGTAATCCAGAAGATACAAGAAAAAGCCCCAAAAAAACACAGGCAACAGAATCAAAAATGTCGAAAGAAAGCATAAACCAGGAATCGCAATGGAATTTCCTACCCATTGAAAAAGCCTTCCTCAGCTTTCAGTATCTCCTTCCCATATCGTACTGCTCGCCGAAGAATGCGCCGCAGAACATACTCACGACCCTCATTACCTAAGGAGTGTGTTACTTTAGGTTATATTCATTAAACTACAAGAGAGAAGAAACTGTTGGAAGAGACTTTTAATACAGAATCAGGCAGATTGAAATAGGAAGAGAATCTTAAAAATGTCACCCAATTTAGAATAAGCAAATAAAAAACAATTATAAATGAGAATAAAAAACATGAAACAAATAAATGATAAACTACTGAACACCTCGCGTAGAAATATAATGTAACAATACTAGTTTAATTATGAGAGACAAAAACAAAGTAATACCTGGACAAGATCCATCCGCAATAGCAAATGATAAAGTTCTAATATGATCAGCAACAACTCTGTATGCCATGTCAACTTTGTCAACATCTTCCCTACCAACTTTTCCAGAGTATGGCCGAGCTCCTGTGGCCTATAAAATGTAAAAGATTTTGATATCTCAACATGAAGACAACCAAGAGCATTAGCTTTTGAATAAAGAAAAGAGTAGACAGTGTTCCAGGAGTGAAAAACTACAGAAAAGATGATAAATCAGTGGAACACAGAAAAGATAATAAAAAGCACCCTGGAAGAAACTGCACCAGAATATTACGATTTTACATATTACCTTCCGGATGGCATCAAATATAGACATGAATACATCTGTGTCATAATTGCTCATTTTGTTCTGAAGAACTGAAGTTAATCTCTCAAAACCCATTCCAGTGTCAACATGCTTGGCGGGCAAAGGTTTGAGAGAACCATCATTTTCCCTGTTGAACTATTGCACAAAGACACAAAATAAAGCTCATTTAAAGGTAGAAGTTTAGAATAAAACATTCAACGTAGAGTAAGTCTTATATGACCAAGCATGATACTAATCATATAGTAACAAATGATTTGATGGTCTATATGCGTAAATAAAAGGCAGTTAACCAGAATTGAAGCTGTAAGATGACAGCAAACTGTACCTGAATAAACACAAGATTCCAAATTTCTATACAAGTTGGATCGTCATTGTTCACTAATGGTGCAGCATCACGGTTACCAACTCGATCAAAATGTATCTCAGTGCAGGGACCGCAGGGACCGGTGTCTCCCATCTCCCAAAAGTTGTCCTGCAAATTCATTAAAATGATAATTTGAAAAAAAGAAGAAGAAGAAAACAATAAGCAAGCAAAAGGAAAACATCCTCAGCCTTCCATGTGCTAGAAGTTTCTCAACCTTGGAAACCCTAAACATCACTTTTCTAGCACTCTTT